GAGATGGTTTTTCCGTGGAGATATGTAGGAAATGGAATGGGACGTGGGTGAGATTGGTATTGTAATAAATAATGTTGGATGATTTACGTTGTTGGAACCTGTCTCCGCTTTAATGAGCTACCTATAACAGATTTCGATCTTATTTTATGTTTATTTATTGATTTACATATATCGTATTGTTGGCTTAGGGGTACTTCCAACTAAATAAAGTGAAATAAACATATGACCGTGATTTTATTTAGACATTTAATAATTACCTACAGGTATAATCGAGTCTGGCATTACCTTAACCTAATTTTGGTAGTTCTACTAAAAATGAAACATTTGGAAAGAAGAAGTTCATAGCGTTATTCTGCAGCATTAAACCTGCATGTAATAAATGATAACACCTACTAGGTCCAGATATACATACCTAATTAAAAAGCAGACATTTATCATTAAAAAAATATTAAATAAGGCAACAGCAATATTCTAATAAAACTTCCCGAAACAGCAACTAAATTCTGTTTCTAGAAATAATATCTAGAAGACATACTTTGGAGGGCTTAAGTTCATACACTCACTGACAAAGAGAGTTAAAATTCTTCATTAAAAACATTGCTCACTCATTTGGTGCAATTAAGAAATTATTTGTAAAGAACAAACTAAGCAACTGTCATAAACATACGCTCATGTTTGACCTTCGTGTGACCTCTCACACGTGATTAAGGTCCCAAGGCGAAGCCGCAAAAGTACTGAGCATTACTTTAATACCTTCGTACATACTCTATATAATGTACATCTTTAGGTATGTCTTAGTCTTTACTAGCTCGAGCCTGTAACTTCGTCTACGTTTCAATTATATTCTGTGCAATTTTTGTAGTTCCAAATTCAAAATATATCGCATCACTGTTTAAGATTGAATAGAGAAATTTAATTTTGGAAGCAATAAAGCATAGACAATTAATCATAAACCACAGAGTTTGGCCAGAGGTGATTGTGTTCTACGTGATTTACATAACAAGGTACTTATTATATAGATAATTAATGTTGATTAATATAGGTAGTTAAATAACAGAAAACAATCATTGTTTATAGGTTAAGTTGGTTCATTACCTTTAATGCTTATATTCATTACATATTTTACTTAAAATTGTTTCAGGCTGCTTAGAGCTTCTTTCTCAGGGATGTACCTACTTACAACGTCTTTCACCGGAAGGACCAAGCATATGACTGTGAAATTAGGTTAAATATAATAAATATAAATTACGTATACGATAATATGAAATAAATTACGAATTACGAGTGTGTCAGATCTCGATTTTCACCTTATGCTTTACAAAGCTTTACAACCTACCATGGAGAAAAAAATCGCAAACTTGGTTATCGTTTTCAGTCCAACCGGGAATCGAACCCGGTCAGCATCCAGCACAACACGTCAGTTTTTTTCTCGTATTCTAAATACTTAATCATGAATTATGGAATTTAATCATGAAAACATGTTTAAAAATGAATAAAATCGGTACATTGAGTATACTAAAACCTTGATCTGTCTTAAACCTAGACCCAAATGTCAAACAACTTTCTTCTTGTAAAGTTTGACAAACTTGACACTGCTCATGTCAAGATTATGAATTTCTTTGCGAGACTCGTTGCAACAGACAACAGACAACAGTTCGGACAACATAAGTGTTAAATTAATACCCCGCAGACAAAGCCAGCACTCACACAAATAATAATTATGAAAATTCGCGCCAATTTTCACCACAGGGTTGCCAGTAATGATTTTGCTAATATAAAGTTACCTCAACATGTGGCGAGATTGCGAAACCTCTAGAGTATTTTACGCTTCGCTGTCAGGGGCGCATAGATAATAGAAGAATGCAGATTATACATGGAAACCAAACTCTATTCTCCATGGTATAAGTGCCATATAACATGTATAGTGTGAATTAAATAAAGTTGTTTAAAATGTATTTTGGGTGAATCACGACATGATGTCTACAATGAATTTCTTTTTAATATCTATTTAGGAGTGTTTGAAGCTACTTGAATAACGATTTAATTGTATAGTGTCCTACTGTTTTTTATCTATGCCCAAATTATTATGAAACTTTTGGCAAAATAAGTATAGGAGTTACAAGCAAAAACACTTGGGCGCTTTTTAGACGAGAATTAGGTTTACATAAGAGGTAAAAATATGTACTTATATAAATAAAAATGGATCGCAAAATATGTTGCTAAACGCAAAACTCGAAGAAGGCTGGACCAATTCCGAGTAATTTTTATGTATTCCTTGGACTTTGAGGAAGGTTTTTACTTTGTATAGAGAGTACAAAAAGAAAAAAAAATGGTGCGTGTACCTACTTATGTACGCGCGTAAGAAGTTATACTTCTTTGGGTTTCTTTATTTTTTTTTAAATATTAAATAATTAATAATAAATATTTAGCGTTAATAATTTAACATTTAGTACTTATATTATTCAAATATTAATTAATATTAATAATAATAATTATTTATTATTTTATTATATTATTAATTCAATTTAATAACTAAGTAGGTTTCATAACCTTTTAACTAAGTAACAATAGATCTTTGTGAAAAAGCATTTCTAAATTTCTTTGAAAAAATAATTAAAACTCCTTTATTTGTTTAAAAACTACTAAAAATGTCATTATGGTCATTCAAAGTTCTTAGCATAGCTGCTAACGTCACGCATATTCTATTTCTTTTTACTTGTAGATTGTCTTATTCCCATCTCGCTCGCGCACGCTCGGCGCCCATACTGATAATTTTGTGTCACGGTGTGCGCGCATCGTAAAATTTCACTCTCATACATTTTACATAACGCGCCTAAAGAAGTATAACTTCAAAAATACATTTATACAGAACTTAGGTTTTTATTCTGGAAAAGCGAACACTATTTATGTGGTAGCATAGCAAAATGTTAAGCTTTGGTATGTAGATACTAAAAAGGTAGGCTAAGTAAAATCATACTAATGCGAAACGAATTTAGCGGGTATATATATATATTTATATAAATGAATTGCTGTTCGTTTGTTTCCCTAAAACTCGAGAATGGCTGCACCGGTTGGCTAATTTGAATCTTGAACTGGAAGGTTTAGAAGAAACATAATAAAACCACAATTGATTATTCCAAAAAAAAATGATTAAAAAATTTATAAAAAAAAATGTTCTAGCTAGGAATTATTTGATGTATTTTTGGATATAAAAATTGTCACTTATATTTGCTCCTTCAGAAATTTATGTTTAAAATGTAAGTGCAAGAAAGTATTTTATAAGTTTCTATAATATACGAGTAGTAATAATAACGGCTGGTTTATGAGTGACGTTTATTTTAAACAAAAATTACTTATCTATATCAAATTCTTCTTAACATGTTAAATCACCAGACATCGCACAATACGCATCCGTTTCTTTGTGCGGCGCGGGACGTATAAATAATATTACGATTCTCACTATCTTAATGAACAGGTGTTGCCAACATTTTAATTTAATATTATTTAGGCCCAACGTCAATCAACATTAATCTAGTTTCCAGAGCTTTCAATCCATTTTTTATGAAGAAAGATTGACAGCGCTCAAGACGTGCAATACGTACCTAGTGTTTTAGACATTTTGTTATCACAATTAAATACGATTTAAAATTCAAATGTGTAAACTGAAGCACAAAATGGAATAGTTTATTAATATATTTATTAATAATATTAGTTAATAAAAAAGTAAAAATATAAAATATATGTGCAAATATGATTAATAGGTGAACATGTATAATTTCATCCGATGTTTCTTTAATAAACCATAGTATAAGACTATATGTGTGACTGTATGTACATTAAGAGACTTGTTTTAGATTTAATATTTCTATGTCCTCTTTTTATAACCGCTTTGTAAGTATTCATGTTCATTCATTTTGGTTCATACATCTTTGTATATTGTGTACCTTCCGCCATTCCCCACCACGATTATCTTCGACGTGTGGTTAACGTCTCTAGGCCTGGACTTGGTCGATGTGTTGAAAATCGATTAAATTAATTTGTCATGTGAATTTTTTTATAATATCTGTTTTTTCATGTAGTAGAAGGCAAACGGGCAGGCGACTCACCCGATGTTAAGTGATACTACCGCCCATGGACACTCACATTGCCAGAAGGCTCACAAGTGCCTTGCCGGCCTTTTAAGAATTATATGAGTAAATAAATAGACTACATTTTATTATGACTATACTTTGAAAAGTTATAAATACATGTTAATTTATTTAAACTTAAATAAAAAGGTTGGCGACACCCGCAGGCCATAGATAATAAATTAAACATCCTTTCAGCTACCGTGCGCTCCGCGGGCTTAATCAAAAAGATTTATTGACAACCTTAAAAAATATATAAATTATGGCAATTTGTTCAAAGAACAGGTTTTATATCGCCAAAAATTTTGTGTAGATCAGTAGCGAATTTGGAATTAAATATATTTGAATTAAATATTAATTTATATGTTTTAAAGTTGCATTCATAATCTATGGGTATGTCAATAACCTGATTGAATTAGCTTATTTTTTATTGTAGGAACAAAATGGCGGACTGAATCGTTTGTCAAATCCTTTGGCATTTCATTTTATTAAACCAAAAACAATTAAAGTACCTAATTAAGATAATTAAAGTAAATTTTCTTTAAAAACGTAAATAAGACGGTATGTTTAGTCAATGCCCAGTTTGAATTTTAAAACTTGTTTTATTATTGGCCGTTATTTCGTGCCCGTTTAAGGCCTAATTCTAATTCGTAAGAAACACAATCTCGTGTTGACTGCTGTCAAATACGTCCAACTTCATAAAGAAAATGGTTAGCTCCTAAAACTAGATTTTAGTTTGGTTGAAGTTCTAGAATACGGGTCTCAAATGTTTTGCTTGTCTTTATACAGAATTCATCATCATCTGTTAACTATTTCAAACGGGAGCGTAACTTTACTAATAAAAAAGCAATTTGATTTGTCATATTGATTATATTACTTCTTGATAACGTTGAGAAAATCTCTGAAAAGAAAAGGAATTAGCTGAATATTATAGTTATGTACAGATTATAGGCATCGCAAATATTATATTTACTTAAATAATTAAAAGTTAATTATAAACTAGCTTCGAAAAATAAATCGTATAAAATATGTTTGAAATCCCGTAACGAGTCTTCTTGTATGCGTCTTCGAGAAACAATTGTTCTTTTGTGTCGCCTAATCGAACATAAACCCGTCTAAATTAACGATAAATCATGATTTAAAGAAGGTATATTCATATTATTATTAACCTCACAACTCCAGGCAATTTCTTGGCTTCACATAGATCGTTGTGACCTCTGTCAAAGACATGAAACTGCAATACAGCACCTCCCTTAATTCGCGACTGCGCCACGCATTCGTATAACTGTAAAATACATTTTTAAACAGTTTCCTTCACCTAACTTGTGTAAAACTCATGGTATCTAGAGAAAGCGTTTCTGTTATATTAGCGAATGCAACTTTATGTTTAATTGAGACATACCTAATAACTGTAAAAATATCGTACTAGAGAATACGAAACATTGAGGTAAACAATAAGCACAACATACGAAACATAATTGATTACAAAAACAATGAAAGACCATAAAACATATGGCAAAAAACTGTATTTATTATACCATCGTATAGTTTTGGCCTTTAAATGAAATACCACACTTGAACATGACGATGTCATTATGAAATTTACAACAGGCGTTAAAAATTGTGTTTTGTTGGACGCGAATAAACTTAACATTTCGAGTGCATTTACTGAAATTTGACGATATGTTATAGGTCCTACATCATGACAACTTTTAGCAAGATTGTTTAATTATTATTTTGCAATTGAGTCTAACGCTTGCAATGCAGAACGAAATACGATGTTTTATACGAATTGATTTGATAGAAAATCTGGATAAAGATTAAATTTCATCACTATCAATATACATAGTTCCATTTTAATTCATATCCGTTGTTTTACCATAAACTTGCTAAGTATCAAGTTCTTAACATTTAAGCCTCAGCACATAACAAATATAAATAGTGTCATAGATAGATAGATATTACCTTGACCGCCAGTTCGTACGGCACAATCCTATCTCCTTTAGAATGTAAGATGAGTAAAGGAAGATTGGTCACTCTTGCTAAATACTCGTCAGTCGTGAAGGAATACTCCGTAGACGTACTGAAGGGCTTCACGAAGGACTGCTTATAATACGGAAGCCAGGATACCAGCTAAAATAGCGTCTTATATAATGTATTCGACAGAATTAATCACAGCCTCATATGATGTTTGCTCGATTAATAATTTTTTTTTTTCAAGACAATTCACACCAATTGACCTAGTCCCATGCTAAGCTGGTGAAGCTTGTGTTATGGGTAATAGGCAACGGATATACATACATATTATTATAGATATATAGATATAAATACATATTTAAACACCCAAGACCTAAGCACAACACCAAATGCTCATCACATCGATGTTCGTCTCAGCCGGGGATCGAACCCGGGACCCATGGATTCGCAGTCAGGGGTACTAACCACTAGACCAATGAGTCGTCCTAATAATTATTAGTGATATTTATGTACATTAATTATAGAAAACCAATATATAGCATAAGGGATGCAGCGTGCATCCGGGTAAAGTGCAAGAAGTGCATAACTACTGCAAAATATAAATAAATAATTATAATTGCATAAGTTTATAAAAAATGCTATGCAATTGCTTTACCGCGGCAGTCCCCGAGTGCCACACGTATTTTTTTGTTATTATTATTTATTTAAAGAAATTAATGAAAACAAAAATGAAAACTCAAGACCCATAAGAGTTATATGGATCTATAAAATGTTAAGAGTTAAGTCTCTGAACCGACTTTAGTACAAAATTGACTGCCTCACTTCACATAATACAAAATCGTCAAAGAATAATATCTTTCAACACCCAGCTTATAAATTACCTTTGAAAATGGGTGTTTTTCAATTTCATCAAGCAAGTTATTGAAGGGAGCTTCGAGTACCAGCGCATCTGGAGCCGGCAAACACTTCTGATTGTTACTACGACAGAGGTCGTCTAAATTCGCCACCAGGTTAGCTGCTATTGCTGTGCCTAAGGTGCAGGAGGTAAAAAATTAACCTACACTGACCTGATGATTTAGTTGACTTCAACTGAAAGTTGAATTATTTTTGTTTATTAGGGTATAAATCTAAAATAAAAACTAAAGAAAATTACAAAAGAAGATCTTTGTAACTCAAACTCAAAATAACTTTATTCATATAGATAAACAAGTACACTTATGAATGACAGAAAAGAAGTTAAAGTAATTCTAAATTTACATTTACTAACAGTTCGCAAGGCAAGGGCGTAGAGCAGGCAAGAAACTTTCCGCCACTCTTTTTAATCTCTAAGTTTTGAGTCATACAAATTGTTTGAACTGGAGCAAATCAATCCCAAGGATTAGGATCATTTAAATATTCGTCAAATTTATAAAAAGCTTTATTGATTAATTTACGTTTAACCAGAGCTTAGAATTTATTTAGTGATAATTCTTTAATTTCGCTTGGGAGTTTCTTGTAAAAACGAATACAATTTCCATATAAAGAGTGGTTTATCTTCTGGAGCCTGGTTGATCGTACGCTTAGATTAGTTCTGTTTCGTGTATTATACTGGTGAAAGTCACCATTTGTTTTAAAATCGTTTATATTGTTTTGTACCAACACGGTTTCAAGAATATATTGACCAGATAGTGTCATAATATTTAATCCCTTAGACTTATTCCGTACCAACTCCCTTGGGGAAGTAAAACGAACTTCGTACCGTTTCCCACGTTCTCTAATAGCATTATCTTTGCCCAAAGCAAAGCCACATCATAAAAGATGGTAAAGCTATCTCAGATAACAACAATACTTGTAAACAACTTAAACTATACACGATTAAATAGTTTTACCTAATGAATGACCCCACAAAACGATCATAGGCCGCCTTCTCTCATCTACCACGCCACTCAGCCAAGAATAAACTTTCAAAGCATCTTCCACGACGCCGTTTTCGGTTGGTCTCACATTGCTTGAGTCGCCATAACCTAAATAAGTGTAAAAGTAGCTAATAAAGTGGTAAAAAGTCCAGCTAACACTTTACGAGTAAATACATATTTATGTAGGAATAAAGAAAATAATAAACAGTTACTTAAACAACTCGGCGAAAGGTTTCATGGAGTTGCTGAAAATGTCCACTGATTCATTTTTCATCACAGTTTTATTAGCTTATACTTGCTAATAAAAGGAATAAATCGTATACAAACTATAAAATACCTCTATAGTCAAAAGCGATGACATGAAAATTCAATTCTTGAAAAACTCTATACATTTGTAGGCGATGAGGTGATCCACGGTGATTTGAGTTACCTGATTGCAAATATTAGAACTTAGTATAAACTTACTAACTTAAGTTAGCCTACCAATAGGGTACAAAGGCGCGATTCGCTCACCATATCCTCGCCACCTAAAAAGTACCTAAGCGGGAAAGCAGAAGTCCATGCGTTCAAAAGAAGGGATGGTAATCCATCCCTGCACTGTACTGGACCCGATCTCCCATAGTTATTACAACAAGAGCGAATGGCCCGGTCTGTGAAGGATACTTGCTGTGTCAAATATCTTCACAAACTAACAATGGGCGTAGAGAGGCAGACGCAACTGTTGTATCGCAAGTCGGAAGGCGGATAAGGCTCTGCTCTAACCGCATCCCGCTTAGGGCGATTGTTGGTGGAGCTTTGGAGATTGATGCACAAAAGCGAGTCCCACATAACCTTCCCGCACGCAGTCGTGGAAGAGTATGCGCAATGCATTTCCTCAAGAAAAAAAAAATACATTTTAAGTTATCATATTTAGAATATATTTCAGAAATTAGGCGTGCGAGTTTCATCCTTGAAGGTTTGATCTTCGGACCAATCACTTCTTAGACTACTTTTTACACAGGCTCATACAGTAAAGAAGAACATCGTTAGGAAATTGGGCTTAGACATGGCGTGTATCAGTTACAAAAGGCTGATCACTTTGAGATTATTTTTTGCACTATCTAATAGAGGTAAATAAAAAACAAACCATGGCAATACAACACGATTGTATTATGAGTGTTCTCCAGCTCACGTTGCAGGCGGTCACAGATTGTCATCTCATCATTGACTGACATCAGCTCACGTAACACGGAAGATGGTACAAAGTGCCATATACCTGATTTATATGGTTCAAATTCAGTACAAATATACTTATACTTTTTTTAAAGTTCCACTTAATAAACGTATTTTGATAGTTTGAATGTTTTTTCGATATGTAACTTTTTTATTACAAAGCAAATTATCATATCAGATCGTTGATATATAAAATTTTTGGTTACTTTAAATAGGTACCTTATATATACACCAATGGGGCTACAACCTTTTTAGGTCTGGGCCTCGAGTTCTGTAACTATTCCATGATCCTTTTTAATAGGTAAGCAATTGATCAACCTTCTTTGCCTGACACAAACCGTCGACTTTTTGGGTCTAAGGCATGCCGGTTTCCTCACGATGTTTTCCTTCACCATACAAGCGAGTGTTAAACGGGCACATATAAAAAGTCCATTGGTGCACAGCCGGGGATCGAACATACAACCCCAGGGATGAGAGTAGCACGCTGAAGCCACTAGGCAAACACTGCCTTACGTGTATTAAATACCTTATAAGATAATCAATTAAAAGTGTTTATATTTCTTCTGTTCAAAATTTCGACACTAGCTGTTATTTCTCTTAATTTGATATTCGATATATAATATCATTACCTACCTATTTTTATCGGGCGGTTGTCGACTTTAGATTGAAACTCTATAGTAAAATTTCTTCCTCCCATTACGTTGCAACTAGACGGATTCTCGAAGTCCATATTCTTTGGGTAATTTACTGTAAATATTTCTGAACAATAAACCAGATTCTGTTGTCGTACGGATTACGATCGTAAGAGCGATTCCAGGACGCGTATTCAAAGAGTCGCGGTGGGTAAAGTAGACACAAACGAATTGTAAAAGTGCAATTCAATAATTGACATTAACAAAATACGTCAGTACCTTAAAGTGAATCCTGGGAAATTTAAAGGGAACCAAACACCGCGTTGGTTAATTTTGTTCGGTGTAATGAGTTCGTTAATAAACTAAATGATACGTAGTATGAATTCATTTAAATGTTACCGATAAGACAAATATTACTTACTGCAGTTAGAAAATACCATTTTCCTTTGTACAGTCTTACTGTATCTGAACATTAAAGGTAGTACTGCCACTTGCATGAAGAAAACGCTCGCGGTTAAGGACGCGCCAGTAAGGAGGATTGCGCTGCCAAACACATATCTACTTCTAAATAACGCTTACTTACGAGTCAATTTCCAATTAGTAAAAGTCTTAGTGAGTATACGTTTTATTTAAACGTTTAAACTAGCGTGAACCAAAACGTGTTTTTAGATTTGAATAACAGTGAAATTAAGAAAATTGCAATACTTTCCGGAAAGTTAAGTGATCAAAGTATTTTAATACAATAATTTTTTTTTAGGAATATATAAATTGTTAATAACGCATTCACCAGAAGTGGTCAAGACTTTTAATTATTCAGCACTCGCTGTCCACAGAGCTTGGTATGTTACCTTAGGCCTCTTGGTAACATACCAATTTATTTGTCATTTATTAGTAATCATAACAATAAAATAAATAGTATTTACAATTTTACTAACCTACATAGCAATAATAAAAATAAATCAAATTTCAAAAGTTTGGTTCCTGTGGCAGTGTACCTTTAACGCTGGGCAGCATTTCCTCGCTGTATTGCGAGACTTATTCGTTGAGCGAGGAAAGCACCAGCTCTGGGGTCTCTGGTACTATCTACAGGCGCCAACTTAAATCAGCGCCTGTGCACTTTAACCCTACGGCCCAAGAGTCTACTCCAAAGGGAACAAAATCGAAGTTAGAGAAAACTCTTATATTTGAACCGTTTATTATTTTCCGCCTGCTCTGCGGCCGCCCCAGTTTTTTGCTCGTCCGATGGAGGTGAGATATATGTATGTAGACACTACATTAATGTTAGGAAACGGACAAGATCACCAAATTTGGCCACACATGTCAAATAACCCGGAATCTTTGGGTTGGATATCTGGCGAAACTAATCGCAATTGGGTTTCGACTTTTCAGATAAGCAGACGATTGTTATCTAAAAGGTTATCATGTTATATATGATCAGAAAACCATGGCTTTAAACATTGTTTGGATTATCAAGATACTTAGGTATTTAGAAACAGGTCTAAACTTGTCATAAAAACTATCAAATTTTATACTGAATATGTGATGTGAGATTCACGTTTTAGAATATAATAGTATTAGAACAATTCCACCATTCCTTAGGTCTGCAACCTAAAATGCGTCTTGACCTTCGAAAAAGTTAAAGGTGTTGTAAGCACCCTATTATATCAATATAGAAAACATTTTTCAATTTAAACTCACCAGACAACCATTATTAGCCTTATTTTTTCATTTTTTTTGTGTTTTTATATATTTTTACATGATTTAATAAATTGGTGACAAATTACGGCATAGTTTGCAATGACACCTTTGACGGTTCCTTATAAAACCTTTTTGGTAATGTTTCATATACATAATGATAGATGGCGCTTAAATGTACAAGTTAAAGGAACTTCGTGAAACAATTTTTATGACGTTTTTATTTTTTCAGGAAATGAGTAAATAAAACAGATCGAATAAATAATTTGTTTCTTAAAAAAATACAATAAATAATTGACGTTTTACGTTTGTACTTATAGCCCCGCGAAAGCAATGTCATCTTTAGCAAACAGCCGTACTTAAATAAAATCATATTTTTATTTAACGTGACAATTAATAATATTTCTCTAAAATAAAATATAAATTCTAATTGACAATTAAATTCGTTCGTTATTACAAAGAAAATTTTCTCACTAACACGTCGATTAATCAAACAATATTTATGGAAATAAATAAAAATTTTCAATACCAAAAATCCCCAATTACAATAGAGAAAAGTTTGCTAAAGGACAAATAAAAAAGCGCATTAAAGCTAAAGCAGTCAATATTAAGCCAACCATCTTCTCTTGTCTAGTGATGCATTGCCACGAATTCACTGTAAAATATTTAAAAAATCAGAAAAGTTAAATCTTTACATAATTTAAAAAAAAACACTTGAATAATTTCAAAAGTTTTTTCACCATTGCTACATTATTCCTGAGTAACATAGGCTGTCTATGTAAAAAAAAATCAGCCGAAAGAAGCTGCAGATATTATAGTAACTGTTTCACAAATAATGTATGAGAAAAGAGAGAAGCATTTCAAGTAATAGTTAAAATTAAATGAAACAAATAAATTTAAAATTAATTAACAAAAATTTAACTGCCTTTAAACATTTTAATGTAGACATGCATTTTTGTAGACTATTTAATTGCGCGCTTTTAAAAAATGCAGATGAAACATGGTCACAGATAAGTAAAACTATTTATGCCATAGACTAAAAATTTCGCGCCTAGAAAAATAATAGAAACATGTAATTAATATAATTTATATTGATTTCTTTAGTACTGTTTTATAATGCAACAGTTTTACAAACTAGTATAAGATTTGTATGGTCTGTGGTTAACGAAGTGTGTTAAACGTAGAACTTAAGGGTTCGATTCCTGATACCAAAATCAAATTTCTTAAAAGTTTTGAAAGCCGGAAAAAGGTTTTAAAATGTGAAAAAAAATTGTGTTTCGAAACTACTTACCCAATAACTTGTTCTAGATCCTCGGCGTGGCAGATATATTTATGACCTAAGTTTTGCTGTTTGTCATAAGCGTGTAGTTTGACTTTTGAGCCATCATTATTCCGCGACTCCAATATTGATTTATATAACTGAAAGTTGATAATAATTAGAAAATTAAAAAATATAATTTAATGTATGGTATAAAAAACGTTCGCGTGTGCATATAAAAACCTTTTTATACACACAGTCACAGTGTAAGTATAAAATATAATTGTGATTACATGCCATGATAGATTTTAGCTTGGCTTAACCTATCATATAATTGGATAAAAATATGCTCCATCTAGTGTCAACTGTTCGTAACACAACCATTTTAGTTTCATTTTACGATAATAGATGACGCTGTAATGAAGTGAGGAAATCTTTTGAGATATTTTACAATTAATTAATTCAATAAATCAGAGTTATAACACTGTTATATGAAGTTTTTTTCTGTCTATAATTTTTAGATACCTAAGTAATTCTATTTCCATATAAAATGGATGGAAGAAATGCCAAATTTATTAATTACTATTTAGTTAGTTGAAACAGACATACGTTTGGTTTCAATAACTTACTAGTGGTAGTTTTACGGATGTTAAATGCGCTCTATATCATAAAATCAACGTCTCGTATCAATTACGTAAAAATAAATACAAACCTTAAGCCCCACAACAAAGGGAACGACGACGTCATCCTTAGCGTGTAATATGAGAACTGGCAACTCTTTCGCCTTGGCCAAGTGTGAGTCTGACTTGAAGGAATATTCTTCGCTCGATCTGAACGGCGACACGAATGTATTGTCAAAGTATGGCAGCCATCTTACAAGCTGGAAATATTTCATAGATTTTCTATGATTTTGTTTGCGTCAAAAATTTATTCCGTCGACTCATGATGCATTAAATAATAAATTACCTTAATTTATAAACTAAAATTGTTTCAACGTTGTTTACGGGAGAATTAGATTGAAATAATACTTTTTTTTAACAAAAATAAACGCGTATTTAACTTACATAATCGAAGTTCAAGTGCCTTACAAAATTAGAAGTCTAAGAGACTGACACGTCAAACTGACAGTTAACTATTTATTATTTGCAGTTTAAATATTGGAATTAACGCCATCTTTGGCGTGAATTATAAATTAAGTAAATAATTAAATTAGGTGAAAACGTTAATAAATATTAACGAAACAAAAATTAATAATGACTTTGATGACAGTATTATCAAAGCTGATTTCAAAAAACACAAAGAAGGTTTATAAAATTTAAATTAATAGCAAAAGTTTATAAAAAGTGAGCCACAATTTTAACTAAAATACTGTTTCGACTCTTTCTGTCAAATTGCGGTTACACTATGATAAAAAGAGACAGCCAAATACGTTTACTTTTTACTAATAAGGGGATCAATCTGTTTCATGTTATAATAAATAATCTTATAGAATTATATGTACGAGAAAATTTCAATACACATTAAAATAACTCGAAAGTTCTGCGATTGTAATCAGAAATATACAAGTTGCAAATACATAATGATAAAAAGGTATCAATATCGGTGGATTATATTGTATCAATAAAATTAAAAAAATCGTGTAGTTTTTACACTTTGAAAAATTTCAGTTTTTTAAGTTGTACTTCTTTAGGCGCGTTATGAAAAATTGATGAGAGTGAAATTTTACGATTGCGCGCGCACCTATGACACAAAATTGGCAGTGTGATATAGGTGCGCGAGCGAGATGGGAATAAGACAAACTACAAGTAAAAAGAAATAGAATATGCGTGAAGCTAAATAGCTTAGCAGCTTAACAAGAATTTTGAATGACCATGACAATTGACATCTGACAATGACATTTACCTTTTAAACAAATATAGGAGTTTTAATTATTGTTTAAAATTAATAATTATATACCTAGTTATTTTCATTATACAAAATATTTGTGAAATAATATAAAATATTTGTGAAAAAACTGTGCTAACCTTCCTGAGTGCTTCAATACAATTGAGGTTAACTATCCGTATGTATTATCGAGTATTATTGTTGATTAAAACTGGAAACATGAACCATTATTCATTGCTTTTGTTTATTGCGTTTGTTACAGCAACTTTTTAGAAATATTCTACGACCCTATATATCAATAATTGAGAACAAAGATTTAAGCACGAATACTAATAAGGAGAAAATGAAGGCTTGGAGCGATATAACAGAGAAGTAAACATTTTAATAAGTACCTGCATCTCAAAAAAATGACCACATTATTTAATCAAAACATCAGATTTAATCTAGCAAAATAAGGACAAGAGACAAAAAACAATTGATGAATAGGGAAGTGACTAAATTGAATAAAAAAAAGAGTTGTCATCTTATCGCGTGAAACATCAAAAACTGAGGTGGAACAAAGCCACCATCCCTTCTGAGACACAATGGTTTGAAGTAGATTTCAATGAATTTGATTGTGATGGTGTGAGGTAGGAATGTTAATTATAAATATGATGTATGGGATGTTCAAGGTCAACCTTTCAAGCATAGAAGAAAAAAAATTTTTTTTTTCCCCCACAGGGGAGTTAGGGATATGCTGTACATAAAAGCAGAAAATTATACCCCCACAGGGTGGTTAGAGATATTGTAATACCTCAAAACATCCATGTTGCACTTGTAGTACCGAAACTCTGTCCTGCCAGAAGTGAGCCCATTCCCACTTATAATGGACAGTGGGTATAATACACCTTAATACCTGAGTGCGAACCACTCACCATGATACTTAAATTAATAGATGTTATTTATATATTTCAGGTTATTACAAATAAAATCATTTTGGAAACAATGATATCCCAAAAGCAAATAAAGCCAACAATGACAAGGTAATAAATCAGTTTTGACATAACTTGAATACTAAAAAAGCCAAACAAAGGTGTGCACAACAGTGACAACATAACTTAACAATTCATTATTTTTAGTAAGATAGAAGGTTTAAAGAAAATCTTGTCGAACTGAACAACATGAATCCCCAAACAATATAGATCGATAGAACTGTATTATATTTAAATCTCATAATTACCAAGTCCTTTATGCATGTGCTTCAAATTATATTATTACAGCATTTATATAATTATATTAATATAAAGGGGGGGGAGAGAAAAAAAATTTTTTTTATTTTTTTTTTTTTTTTTTTTAACGGGGGCGCCCTTATTTTTTTTTTTTTTTTTTTTGGGGGGGGGGGGGGGGGGGGGGGGGGGGGGGGGCCCCCCCCCCCCAAAAAAAAAAAAAAAAAAAAAAAAAAAAAAAAAAAAAAAAAAAAAAAAAAAAAAAAAAAAAAAAAAAAAAAAAAAAAAAAAATAAAAAATTTAAAAATTTTTTTTTTTTTTTTTTTTTTTTTTGGGGAAAATAAAAAAAATTTTTTTTTTTTTTTTTTTTTTTTATTTTTAATTTTTTTTTTTTTTTTTTTTTTTTTTTTTCTTTTTTTTTTTTTTTTTTTTTTTTTTTTTTTTTTTTACCAACAAAATATTTTAAAAAAAAAAAAAAAAAATTTTCCCCCCCCGCCCGCCGGGGCGGCCCCCCCCCCTTTTTATAAAAAAATTTTTTTTTTTTTTTTTTTTTTTTTTTTTAAAAAAAAAAAGGAAGGAAGTTTTAAACTCTTTAACTAATAATTACAGGTCATTTATGTGTGGCTTCTTACCGCGGACAATGGGTGATGAGTAACAGCATCTGCCAAATTACTAAACGGAGCTTCGAGAATCAGTCCACTTGGTCTCGGCAATGGCTCTCGTTTGAGAACATCGCGAGACAATTCTGAGAGATTGCCCATTAAATGAGAGGAAATTCCCGTACCTGGAATAGTTAACATATATAAAAATTTATATATTTAGAATCTAATTGGCAAAACCAGAAGTAGGTACCAGGCACTCGCGAGCCCTCTGGCATTGAGAGTGTCCATGGGCGGCGGTATCACTTACCATCAGGTGAGCCTCCTGCCCGTTTGCCCCTGTTCTATAAAAAAAAAGGTAACCGGGAAACTTTTATGTGGTCTTAACTGTACAATAAATAAAACATGTAAACAGTAAAATATATTAAGAAATAAAAATAAATTTTGATAATTTATAAAAAAAAAATTTTTTTTTGCTGCAATTCGATAGATTTTGCATTATGTAGTATATACGTACTACTAGGAAGGATTACGTATCGTGGGTTCATTTCCCAGCGTAACAATGATTGTTTCGCTCCAATGACTTGCTAAAAAAAATGTCTATCACGATAACGGGACTTACCCAATGAATGTCCCCAAACGAAAACAGCAGGTCGTTGAGAGCTGGACTGAATGGTGCTGTTAAGCCAGTCATACACTATTAGTGAATCTTCCACCACCCCTCTTTCAGTGGGACAGACATTTGTTGAATCGCCATATCCTAAACAACAACAAACGAAAAACAAGCTAAAGAATTGGTCATTCATACAAAATTTATTATTGCGCCCTGTCGTTGACATTTCGTCTCTTTCTATCAAATTTTGTTAACGCTAGGATGAAAAGAGACAGATGAATAAAGGGGTTACTTTTTTAATTATTTGGAATTAATACAGCCTATGTTACTCAAGGTAGCATTCTAACGGTGAAATTATGTTTAAAATCGGTAAAATTTAATTAAATACTAAACGAAAATCGATTTCAAAGTGTGAGGAGAACAACTCTATGGATATCCAGACGAATACTCTGATTTTTAATTCCGTAGAATTCTGACAGTCATCATTTTTTGACGTTAGTTGGCAAACATTTTTGGCCGTTTTCAGTCGGAACATCTGAGTCTATTCATACATTTCATTGGTAGTTAATGTATCCATTTTATTAAGTGCGGTGCTCCACATTAAAAGTAGTTTAACGGCGAGTGATAATTACGTCCCTAAACAGTAAATATTTTTTTTTTTTTAAAGGTTTACTAAACCTGGAATCAGTAGGCAGTGATGCCAGCTAAAGAATAAGATAAAGTAATTAAAGTTAATTCAATATATTGTTCGTGATAGTGAAATATTTGTTATTTTTGTATTAGGTCACTTGAGTAAGTAAATATTTAGTTAGCTATACCTTTTCGTAGGTAAAACTTAAAACATACGTGGCTTTTTTATTGCCCTCAAATTTCAAAGTCAAATTTGTCCCTTTTTCGGCGGAGAACTTTTTTAGTAGCAACATTTATGAATTGACAGAATTCTACGGAATGAAAAATCAGAGTATAGCTCAATCTGGATATCGGTGAGTTGGACAAAACGCGTTCGTCTGGGATAATGGGATGCTTGGGGTATCTTGAGGGTACACCAGGGCAACCTGATTGTTAATATCATAATGCAAACGATATATCAAGTATATTTTTACGATATCTATATATAAAATGATATTTTAGAGTGCTCTAGCCTGGTTTCGTATGTTAGCAAATCTTTTTTCGAGATAAAGGATATGATAAAAAAGTAATTACATAGCAACAAATTATCTATTATCTATACTAATATAAAAGATGTATGAAAGATTTGTTTGAAACGAATTGGGTCAAAAAGTACTAGACTGATTTAAAAAATTCTTTCACCATTTGAATGCTATATTATCACTGATTAATATAGGCTTAATTGCAAGAAAAATTCCTACTTAAACTACAATAATGTGTCCCAAGGTTTAAAAAATGGTCTATAAAACCTAATACTATTCATGATAGAACAAAAAAAAATGTTCCACAATATTAAATAACATATTAATAAATTCTACAAAAATTGTTTTACCACCCGTAACCCGTAACGTAACCACCCGTGCGAAGCCGGGACGGGCCGCTAGTATTATAATAAAAATCTTACCGCGATAGTCGAATGCGATTGTATGGAAATCCATTTTCTGAAAGAATTGATATAACTCTATCCTATGGGATGCCGCACGGGAGTTCGAGTTACCTAAAAATATATAAAATTATGATTTTGGGAAAAAAATCATTTAAACTATGTGTCTAAATATTTGCGACATTGATAAATGTTTTTCTTGTAAAAAAATAATTATTGTCATTATTTTCCAACAGTCCGAGTGTCATCATCGGTTTAATAATTTTGAAATTTGGGCATCCACACATTTCTGCAAGGAACATGTGTATATAAAGTAGGTAAATATATGTTTATTTTTTATTTGCTATGTATTTGATAATTTCAATAAATTCCTATATCACGCTAGATATCAATAAATGTTTTGTTATCTAGCGTAAAAGCTTAAAAAGAAGTTATATATCTCATTATTAGTTCTGAACATGGTCATACCATGACAATAAAGTACGATGGGATATTTTGAATTGGCCAATTCTTCGTCTAACTCCTTGCTTAGTTGCTCCTTATCCGCGCTCTCTTCAAAGCTACCCTTTAGTTTTTCATAGCTACTCTTTGGTAGGATATGCCAAATACCTGTAATTGTAAATATTTATTATAAACCTAAATCTGGGATGGGTGCTTATTTATTTATATCACACATAAGAAAAAAAGGATAGAAACTAGTTATACAAATTATAAGCAATGTGTGGCCTCGGTGTGAACGGCGTGCAAAAAGCTTATTATTAATAAGTTTACAAAAGGATCACAAAAAAGATTTTAAATTACAAAGCAAAAAACCTAAGATAGCGATATTACCTTCCTATAACCGGATGGGCGATCCGAAAATATATCAATATTGTTCGGGCCCTGCAGCCCACAGCACTCACACATTCTAGCCATTCTGATTAGTGGAGCTTAGAACCCTAAATAAGAGCGATTAAGAGCGACTTAGTAGAAATAACAAATGACTCCGGTTTTTTGCAACGTCTCAAACCTCTAGGAACGGAAATGCTAAATTTAAACTTGAGGTGAGTCCAGCATGTTCCACAGTTTATAAAGAAACATATCCGACAGATCCCTACGACGTGGTAGTAGCTTTAAGTGGTAGTGCTGTAGACGATCGCTATCCGATGGATTTTTTGGAAATTTGTGCCAAAGAAAACGCTTTTGTACGCCCTATACCATTCTTCTATGGACTTCATAGTGAGGATTCCACACGACACTACGGTACGGACAATTATAGTGTTCGATTTTTGGAAAGCTTTGCAGTTCCGTTCCAGAGCAGCGAACGGTGAAGGAAAACATCGTGAGGAAACCGACATGTCTTAGACCCAAAAAGTCAACGGCGTGTGTTAGGCACTGGAGGCTGATCACCTACTTGCCTATTAGATTTAAAAATGATCATGAAACAGATTCAGAAATCTGAGGCCAAGACCTATAGAGGTTGTAGTGCTACTGATTTTTTGTTGCAGTTCCGTAAGACGAAATCCAGAGTTTAGTAGCTTTTGCTGGTTAAGTTATGTAAGTGGAAATTCAGTTTCTGTCCAAGGTAACCTCTAGGTGACGAACGTGATTAACTTCGCTTAGAGCGTTGTTCTTCATGTGGTATGTCCTTGTGTGTGTTATGTTTCATACCGTTCAAATGACACCACATTACCAGCTGATCTAGGTCTTTGTGAAGTAAATTAGTGTGGCTTAATTTTTATTGAATTACTTGTATGATACAAAGGAAAAAGATTACACAATTAGGTAAAAAAGGTTTATACATAAAGAATAACAGCCAAGTCAAAAATTATGTAATATTACGGCCCAAGGCCGACTTAGTTGGACTTTAGCATCACATACTTGGCCCCAAGTCTCAACATTCGCTCTTATTCAAACAACGATTACTAAATAAATAAGCTATTTAAACCAAGTGTTAAATAATAAAACTAATTTCAATTGTATAAAAAGGCTTGGGAAGATACAAATTACTCATTAAGAATACTTTACTTCCGATAAATATATTTTACTATGTAACACAAAAACTAGTATATACTATTTACATCTTTAATGAATTAAATATCATGAATGTACGTCATATCATAAAAAACGTGATTAACATATAGATCAAAGTCCATTTTCATTACAACATTCTAATTATATATATATCTATCAAAAGTATTAAATATTCATAAGATAACTATAAAAGTATTGGGTTGCACATTATACATATATTATTTAAGAAATAATCAAGCACAGTTGGAAAGTGGTTCAAGTGCTTGGTTTCTTTAAACCTGGTGACAAAACATAATAGTTACGAGTTGAAAGGCCAAGCTGGTGAAAAACTCATGGATTTTTAAGGAAAACCTACTTATCTTAAAATAATAAATTGTAGTGTAATTATTATTGTCAGATAAATACACATACTAATATCATTTTAAACTAAATTTACTTAAAATCTTATTATTACTCTCTTTTTCTACAGTCATCATTGTATTGTGTTTATAAGTCAGTATTGTGAGAAAAATGCTGTGGGGATGATAGATTATAGGGGCTTAGTGCTTACCTAATTTAACTGGGCAATTATCAACCATAGATTGATACTCAATGTTAATATTTCTAGCACCTTCTATTCCACTAGCTGCTGGGTCCTCATAGTCTATGTGAAAAGGCCATTGAGCTGTAAAATAAGTCAGATTAGTAGTTATATGTGTAAGTAATTATTTGACGTGCTATATTTCTATTGCTTTAATTCAACCATATAACAATTTAAATCTAGGTATTCTGTCAAATATCTTTTTATTTGTAATAATTTATTGTTTATTGAGCCTTTATCATGAAATTGTATTGTCTAAACTAACAATTATGTATGGAATATTGTCATCAATGCTGTAATATGATTAATGATAGATATTAATAAGTTTCAACAGTACTGACATCCCTTTTACTCAAGGAGAGCCTTTATAACAAACTATGCCTAACAAAATTAAAGGTGGTCCTAGTAAATAAATAAATCACTGAAACTTAGGTGGTAGGAAATGGGCAAAGTACATACCAAAATTAGCAAAGATCATATTTTGTTTAAATGATTTTGAATACTTGAATATTAAAGGCACAACAGCTACATGGAAAACAAATATTCCCGCTGTGATTGAGGCACCTAGCAGGAAGGTCCTGGAAAAGTATTGGATTTTTTTTATTGTAAGCCTTTACTTAATACAAATAAGGTTAATATTGTACCTAATATTAATAAGTAAGAAACAATTTGTAAACATTCAATTATCAATCATTATTCATAAATCATGAAGAGAATGAACTATGAATATAAATACTTACGCAATCGAGTATAAGGGTAAACAAAACAGAAGTAGGTGCATCTTTTACACAATTATTTTGTTATATTTAATTAATAAAGTAAAATCTGAGAACTTGATAATTAAATGCAATTAGTAATAAATATTAGCAGTATGTAAGTAAACAATTCGTTCGATTATTTATAAATGCAATAGATAAATGTTGTCTCAAATTTGTGACTTCAGCATATACATATATATAAATTTAATCACGAATTTACGAAAAACTAAAAATCCGCAACTAACATATTTTTCTAGTTCTATGACTAAACTACAATCTTCGAACTAATAAGTTATTCTTCTCTATATAACCCATAAAACCCAATGAAAAGAACACAAAATTTAGCCTAAATACAATAATAAATAATTATTTTAAAATCCCGTTAGAACGTCACCTATTATACATTTAATACTATTTAGCAGTTAGCACGTCACAGACTAAGAAAATAGATATAAGTCGCACGACTGACGACTCACACTCGCAGGCTGCAGCTTGCTTAATTCGAATACATTTTACGTATTCGTTCGAGATTGCACAGATTTATTTAATATGTTAAAGTAATCTGTGCAATCTCCGTTGATTGATCTTAGAAGAAGCATTTAGTAGAACTTGGTAGAAGATAATAATCTCGTTAGCGAGATAACTAAAATATTTATGTTTTATAGGAAAATCATTACAATATTAGTAACCGTAAACCGTTTTAAATACTAGGTGTGCGTTTTCCAATTACAGAGCATTTTGCGACTCAGTGCCGCACAATGCCGCATAATGCTGAAGCTTAATTGGAACGTGAATTAGTTTTCAAATGCATCAGCAGAGTGCGCTAAGTCAGTGTTGAAAAAAAAATGTTGAATTTGTATGAATTGAGTTAGCAACCTCATTAATGTATAAATAATGTGGTAAACAATAATAATTGGTTGAAAACTTTTTACGCTTATTTTAATCATCAAATTATTTCATTAACATTTTTTTTATTGAAATAATAGAAAACCTTTAAAGAATATAAGGTTTTAACAAGCTAAATTAACAGAAAAATATTTAGTTTCATGTAAGAAGTTTACATCATTTACGTTTTGAGTAATATTTTTTAATGATTTCTAAAAAAATTATATACTTTTTCAAAACCATTGCAATTTTTTCTAAAGTATAATCCTGTAAAATAAATTTGTTTACAGATCCGAATTTTAAAATAAAATTGTATTCATATTTTAAATGTGGAATATAAAAAAAGTAACTATTTATCATCCATACTAATTTTTTTTTTTTTAGCAGTTTGAAATAACTTTAATTATTTTCAAAATCTACGACGAAACGAAAGCCTTACAAATTTTTCAACAATAAATAATATTTACTAACGAAAATTTCGATAAATGCCAACTTAAAGAAAAATACTGGTTAATTTTCTGTCACTGTGTTGGTATTGTTTGCGAGAAGCTCGCGAGAGCATTCGTTTTGAGAGTGCTCAATTGTGCGAAGCGTTGCTGTAGTTGGAACACTCGACGTTGAGCATTGTGCCGCAAAATGCGCTCTAGTGCTGTAATTGGAAAACGCACGGTATTGTATCGATGTACATATTTTTGAAGTTTGTATCGATTAATTCAGTATAATCGATAATTTAAGCAGGTCCCTCACTATATAGGCTAAAATTGACAGATGTCAAATGTGATCTATTAAATTGACCCTACTATACCCTATATTATAATTGTAGAATGTAATCTTTTAGTTGATCTGTCACTCACACTGTCTAAATCTAAGCAATTCTATAAAATATATTGCCAGCGGGACAGTGCCACATACTTTTCTTGTGGCTGCTATATACCAGCGGCTGAAATTGCTCAGACTGACATTGTTTATTATCTGTAATATCTTGATGGGTACAATAAATAATTTTATATATTATTTTAATATTTTTATTTGCCCGTCGCTTTTCCCATACTCATCAATCTCAATCAAGTCAATATAATATGTCTGCATTAAACATTTTGAGTATAGTTTGTATGTTATAAACAATACACATAAAAGCGAAAAAAAAAATAATAAAATGTTTTAAACGGAGAACAATACTTATTGCATTGGTTTAACGCAGAATAACAAATATTTTTTTAATTTAATTTAATTGATAATAAAAAAAATATTTATCGTTATTTAAAAGGTAATATAATTTATATATTTTAATCAGTTTTATATCTTAAGTCTGGTAATAAACAGGACTACATTCATATAATATACCTAAAATAGATTTGGTAGCGAGTCACGCCTGCCGTAATTTTACAACAATTTACTTGCTTGCTTTGCTTTAGCTTGAACAAAATTTTCAATATATTTGGGCAGGAGACACCACCCGCCCAGATAGTTTTTTTCAAAATAAGATGAAAATGAATAGAATATAATGGGTACTCCATTAATAATTTAATAATTTATAACTAAATAATGAATATTCGCTCGTTTCATGATGATTTTTAACACAAATAGCCGAGGTGAGCTAAGGCACAGAGAGTATAAATACTTAAAACATAATGGTTAACATAGAGAACAGATAGGAGGAAACAAACAAACGTATCCCTTAGAATGAAGTGATTTGCCATAGAGACCAGAAACGCCCCTGATGGAAGACGTCCTTAATGGAAGCAGCAAGGTTAAAGCATGAAGAATGATTGTGTAAATAATTCAGTATCTTTAATACTTTAATTACAAGACTTTGACAAACACAATTAAACTAAAACAATTTGAAGAAAATCTATTTGATAGGTTAAACTTGATTTCACACTAAGGTAATGTTTGTTTAATTAATTTAAGATAAATAACTACTTCACTGTCGTTTTGTTTCCTTATCCAAAAAAGTCAACTGAGGGTCCGTATAGCATTGTATTTCTAAAAGTTCAGTAGAAATTATTTCGTTTTTCATTTTTAACGATTTCATTATGTCATGGATAAATGGCGCCCAAAAGTGATATTGTCCATAAACACGACTATAATTCGCAAATACACACCCAGTAAGACTTGTTATATAGTTGATCCGTAAAATAACTGTTGTTTTTTTCGCAGATAAGATTTTTGTTACAATATTTCCCGGTTCCAAAGGTATGTAACCTTTTTTGCGGCTTCCAAAATTCAACCACACATCATTAGTTACATTCTCATTCCATTTCTTTGACAAGTTAAAACGTTGAGATCCAATATTAAAGCTAATATTGTACATTATATTTGCTTGATACGTATTTTCGTGCCACGTTGACACAACGCTCGTTTCAATTGTATCAAATAGTCTAATTTTTGCTTGTATTTTTATACTTGTATTATTAATGTGATTTACCGTTTTCAAGATAACATTTTTACTAAAAATATTTAGAATTTCAATATTTTTTACCTTTGTGGTTCTTGTTACTTCTTCCCAATGATGATCCCTAAAAACATTATTAAAATACGTAGGATCTTTAAGGAATACGTCGTCAGGTGTTTTGCCAAATAGTATTTTGATTCCTTGCTTCATTCTGTTCTCAGTGATATTAAATCGAGCCACATCATTGCCACTGGCTAGAACTTCATGAGCACCAGTAAATGAAATACTACAATTATCCTTTGAAGAGCCAAGTTTAACACTTATTTCAATTTCGCCTTCACAAATTGCAATTAAAACTATAGTGATCATGAAATAATACGACATAATTCAATCAAATAGTGTTACGTCCACCAATACTATAAAATTAATGATGTATTTGAAGTAAGAAAAGACAGAATATGAATACTGTTTTATTATAATTTAGATCATTTTAATCAAGACCCATGTTTTTCTTAGCGGTATTAGGTTAATAGACACTAAAATATGTCAAATTTTTACCAAACTGAAGTTTTTTAATCATCATTTATTTAGTTATTTATATATTAAATACATACCATCCAAGGTAACAATATGTTATCACTTCGCAATGACCTTCTTATCTAAATACAAGTCTGGTTCAATTATTATGATAACAATATTCTTCTGAATTATTCGAAATGATTTTGGAAGTGAAACTGTTTATGTTATAGATAAATTTTGAGATTGTTTTTAGTTATATTAAATATACAAGAGGTGTAGAACGTACGATCAATTTTCGCAAAAAACAATGTTAGATAAAATGCTTTTAATTATTGGAATAATATTACCCATTATAAGCGCAAAGATAAGTATTAATATAAGTAACGGTAATAACGAGACAGATGTAATAGTGGAATATTCTGGATATGACATTCACGTTATCAACAATGAGGATATTAAGTTATTCAACCTCAACCAGTTATATTTGAAAGAAGCTGTACGTAGATTTTATAAAATCAGACCGCAAAGTGTGTATTTAAAGAGTCCAACACCATGGAATGATCTGTATAAGATCAACGATTGGGAACAAGTGTCAAGAATATTATCTGTCAAATCGGCTAAGTTAAAGATAAATAATAAACAAAATACAGTGGTATTATCACAAGATTTTGAAAACTATTCGAATTCTACTATCAAAGTTAATACTGCTTTAAGTCAGTCCGTTGAAAATTCTATTTCAACCAGCTGGTCAGTCAGCAAAGAGTGGTCGGTATCACAACAGTTTGAGTATGACGTTAATGTGATATTCGCAAAAATTGCTGGTACTACCGGTTTTACATGGACTTCGAACTGGGGTAAAAGTGAAGAAAAATCCGAGACCTTTACCATTGGAGCAACCAGTTCGGTGGAAACCGAGTTAAAGCCTGGACAGGCTGTCACTGCGATTTTGACAGGAAACAGAAGAGTATTGGAGATTGAAGTCGTGTATGCGGCAACACTGAGAGGGAATGTAGTGGTGAATTTCAAAAAATCGTTTCGGGGTCATCATTTTTATGGCCCCTCAATCGTAAGTGTTTTGAATACAGCCGGAATGGATACGGAGAAATTGATAACTGAGAATATTAAAGTCGGTGTTTATATTGATCATTCACTTAAAGTTTTTGATAAGGCAACAGGTTTACCGCTGTAAAACTGTCGTTACGTCTACGTTATGTGTGCATTTAA